TGTAACCAGTTTATATAATAAACTCAAGTCCCTCACAAATCTACGGCGAGGCAGAGAAATCAATCCGAACACCGCACAAGCAACCGAGTACTCACAATAAGGTAAGTGAAATTTATGAGCTAGAAACCTAACAAAACGACGCTGAACCAACTCCAAACGGTACATGTATATGTGATACATTGGATTCCAAACCACCTAGCAAAAAGATAAAATACTATTAACATATGCCATATAAGCAGATTTTAAGCAATCAAGATTTGAGAAGACATAGGTAGTTCTTAGAATAAACCCCAATTGTCTCATAGCTTTGAAAAAGATATACTCAATGTGATCTAAAAATAAGAGTTTTGAATCTAGCATCACTTTATCCCCATTGTGAGAGTGATAGACCACTATAATTATAGATTTTAATTTGGGTATTACTACAGAGCACAACTCAATACACTTTTCTTTATTAAACATCGAGAGATCCAATACTTCTGCGGAATACTCTTTTTTTTATTGCCCATAGAACTCCTCTGCGTGTATACTGTGTCCTGCAATAGTATGTATCAATAATTTTGTACATATAGTGCTTTTATTTCTTCTTCTGTGATCCAGTGCTCTGTTATAGCAATAATGTGAGCATCCCGGTTAGTGTTCAATAAGTTCACTTATAATTTACTTTGTTTGGCAGTCCCTGTATACTTAAGTTAACTACTTGAATAGTTTGTATGTTGGTTATTCTAGTTGTCTTTTCTTTTGAATTAACTATTTCACTTGAGTGGTTTTCTTGCGCGGGTGAAAAAACCATGTGACATAAGCACCATGAGGCCATAATTGAGGATTCATTATTTTCTCTTCATATAGGTGATATACATCACAAAACGAAGTGACTGGATGAAGTTTAAAAAGATAGCTTGATCAAAATATTTCAGAGACCTAATATATCTAGGAAAAGTCACTGATTCGACTGTTAAATTAAATTGCAGAATATAAGTTCATGATCACTTATATTGTGTACAGAAACAACTTTATATACAGTGTGTCCCACGATAGATGTTACAAGAGGTATAATGACTTAAAAATGTTTGAATTTTATTTCAAGGCTGAGGAATTAAGTAAGCCCTGCTTGGTGTGGAGAAAATTTTAAGTATATTTTCATATTTTGAAAATCAACTCGGCCTTGATAGTGAAGCGAAAACTATTTTGAGTAGGTAAAGTAAACTTTTTGTTCATGATACGGCAAAATATCATCAAGAAAAGTTATTCAGAATGAGAAATTATGGTACTATGCAAAATTTCAGAAAGATCTACATAGATTAATTAAACCACCATATTTTAGATTAGATCAGAGTGAAGAAAAAAAAAAAACAATGAAAGTGCCTTGAAAAAAAAAATTACTTAAGTAGTCACAAATATTGACACATAAATTGTATTATCCCTCAGTTTTACTTCACATTTCAATTATATACTATACAATATTTATGTTATTTAAACTAAAATGTGATGGTTCAACCAAAGTAGATAGATCCTTCTGAAATTTTGTATAGGACCATAATTTCTCATTTTGAACAACTTTTCTTAATAAAATTTTTCAGTATCATGAACAAAAAGATTACTTTACCTAAACTAAAAATAGTTTTCGATTCATTGTCAAGACCGCCTTTGTTTTCAAAATATGAAAATATTCTTAAAATTCTCTTCACACCAAGCAGGGCTTAATTCCTTAGCCTTAAAATAAATTTCAAAAATTTTTAAGTCATTATACCTCTTGTAACATTTATCCTGGGACACACTGTATTTAGGGGCAACACGTTCGGCATAGTTTCCATAGCCTTATGGCTCCATGGGGTACCATGGGTCTTATCACAGAAGTGTAGATCGTCGGATTTAATTCCCATGTAATCCCATTGCCCTTCGACATTGTGTGAGTACAAGCGTTGCTTTTTTGGTTTTGCAACTATGTGTGATTTCCAAGATATTTCACCTGTGGAGCAAAGGTTAATGGACTGTTGCAGAAATAGGGTTGTGTTAAGTGTCCCAGATTCCTCTGTTTGGTGAAAAATCTTAGTCTTTTTAGGATTTACAGAGAGAGTGTGCTCTTCACACCATCGTTCAACAAGTTTAAACTGTATTCTATAACAAAGAAAATAGTTTTAACTTCAATTTGTAATCAATAAAATTTTAAATGAAACTAACTTTGACATTTCAATTTTAAGTGCCATTATTTCTTGATTCAATCGCATTCCGTTAGATGTCGCCCACTCACAAAGTATCTCACCATCTCTCTCACTCTATTTATTTATTTCCTTGCGTAATCCCGGGAGTTGTTGTTGTTGTTAAGGATCCAAGATAGCCATCCAGCTGTTCGTTGTCCTGCGCCGTGTTATTGCGCACGTATCGACACACGAGTGAAATCCGAAACCAGCCGAAACGGACCCGAACGCGTCACATTTAGAACAATCGGCGAAAAGAAGACAGTCGGTGCGCAACGGCCGTCGACGTCGGGACGCGTTTCGGTCTTTTTCCCTCCCTCATCATCACTCGAACTCTCTCTATCTCACTCTCATTTCCAGGATCTTACCTATACAAAGTCGACGAAACAGTGATAGCAAGTGTATAAAATTTTGTTGTTTTCTTGGAAAATTAATATTGTTTTTGGGAAAAAAGTGAACCCTATAACAAATGAGTAGCATCGAAGCTTTACTCCGGGCCGCGGCCTTCCTCGATCGTAGCGACGACGACGCCGACCGCGTTTCCTTTGTTTGCGACCTATCAGCTGATCGACGACTACTGATGCATAATATCGTCGTTTCTAATAATAATAATAATAACAACGATGGATATTCAAATTCCTCTTATGAAACTGCGGAACATGGATACGCAACAACGTTACCGATGCCTCATCATCATCACCACCACCACCATCATCATCATCATCAAAGGGATCATAAAAATTCATTTGCCAATTCTGTTTTAACGGTTGGTAAAAGACCTAAAACAAGAAAAAACTCGGTTGGAAGGTAAATTGCAAACGAAAAAAGAAAATCATTAATTTTTTTTAATTTATCATTTTTTTTTTGTTCCCCAGATCTAATCATAATGAATTAGAAAAAAACAGGTGAGTTTGACATTTCTAACTTTTTATTAGATTTAATTTAATAAGAATTTATTGTTGTTGTTAACTTGGTTGTTCGATTTTCTGCTTGGTACCAAGGCCAACGCGATTCTATCCGATCCGATTCGAATCCTATCCTATCCGCACGCGAAACGTAGTGTGCCTTGGCAACTAACTGAATAGGAATAAAAAAAAAGAACGGGGCCGCTGCCGTTTTTAAATGCGAACGAATAGAACAAGTGCAGTGGCGTAGGTCTGGTTTTTGTTTATATCGCGGTTATTTCTAGTTGCTATGCTGATTATTTTCAAAACATTTTTAAAACATTCTTTTGTTCAAAAACATTCTCGCCCTCTTTTTTTTCGTTTGTCAGATTATGATGGAGTTTTGTTTATTTTGCGATTTAATAACAGATGGGATGTAAGACAAAGAAGGCGCACAAAACCTTCTTTTGTTAGTAAAAGACGGATGCTGGAAAGAGAGAGTGCATGTGAAAGAGAGATTAGAAAAAAAAGGAAGGAGAGGGATGGGACATGTAAAAGATAAACAGAGTGAAATAACAAAAATAAACAGTCCGATGACTACATGAACTTAGTGAAACATGTGTTGGGTTGGTAATCGGTTATTTAAAAATTTAAAGGGACTATAAAATACGAGCTTTTTCCACTTAACTTTGTTGATTGAAAGATAATGACGGAAATGTTCCCTTTTAAAGTTTTATTACTTGTTGAGTATCAATAAATTATGATAATTGTTTATTGATGCGTACTAAAAAATAAAAAAAAATTATTGATCTCTATGATAATTCTTGCTATAAATTGCATATCTCTATTTACTTTTGAGATACGTAAAATTGAATTAAAACTTTTTATTAATAAACCAAATTTCGAACTACAAATTTGTGCAATAATATTGAAAAGGGACTTGTTTAACAATTGAAGACCTTGCAGCAACAACGAGGCAGCTCTACTTTTTGTCAAAAATTAGTTAAATATACTGCATCCAATAAAATAGTAGCCATCAGTTGATGCAACCGAATGGCTGCTTCCACCTTTAAATTACAGCAAGAACAAGGCAGCACCTGAATGAGTTATACTTGAAGACATATGAACCTGCACTATACAGGATGTTGCTGTAAGTCGTTGTATAATTTTCATCACAAATATTAGAGTGAAAATGATGTCGATTTGTGTAAAAAATTTTGATCTAAACCCATAAGTGGCTATGATATCTTGTTTGTAAGGATTGATGTCATCAAGAATCTTTTCAAATTCAATCTTGTTAAGGAAGAAATCAGACACTCAAGGGGGATCCCATAGGCAACTAGCTCTGATAAGGTGTAATAATCTTCGTTGAATTGACAGAAGTTGTGTTTAAGACAGTGTTTCAGAATATTGAATAAGTTATTAGCATCGTCTTTATCGTCTATCTTTTCTGTTAAAGTTTCTCTCACTATCTCTAGGGTTTCTATTGTTGGAATATTAGTATATAGGTTAGGTTAGTTACGTCGAATGATGAGATTCTGAACTCTTGGGGAAGTTTTAATTTACTAATCAATTCAGTTAATTGATAACGGTCAGAAATGGTGTGTTTAAGTTTGAAATTTATCTCTTTTTTGAAAAAGGTAACTAAGGTTTTGGCAAGTTTATGAGTGTTAGAATTAATGGAAGAAACTACCGGTCTTATAGGGTTATATTTCTTGTGTAATTTAATGAGTGAATAAAGTTTCGGGATCAGAAGCTTCATATTAATTAAAGTATTAGGGTTACCTAGATATTTCTTAACGGTGTCTTCTGATTTCTTGGTGATGTGTTTGGTTGCCTTTTGGAATTGATTTGTGGGGTTTCTTTTGACTTTGCAGAATCCATTGGCTTGTAGGAATTCTTCTGTTTTATTGTTGTACTCGTTTTTGCTTAGAATTACCATTCCTGCATTTTTGTCGGCTGGGGTGATTATGAGGTTGTTCTCTTTTATTTTCCTTTTTATACTCTTGATAGTCTTCAGGTACAATCTGTTCTTTCCTGTTTTTCTTTCTTGCTGTTATATCTTACTTTTTGTTCCTCCTTCATGAGTGCTTGTTGCAGGTCTTTCTTGATTATATTCTCATTTTTATGTCTTTTTATTGCGGCTTGAAGTTCTATGGCCAATATGGGTAAATTAGTATCAATCTTTGGGGCGAATTTCGTACCCTTGTATAATAATTCATTTTCTTTTTGGGTGAAGTTTACATTTGAAAGATTAGTTATTCTTGGGTAGAATTTGTGAATGATTTCTTGGTTTCATGACTTTGACGAAACCAAGAATGTTAAAATCCTACACCAACTAAACAAAAGTTTTCACATGGAACTACTTGAATTCTATAAAATAAATAAATTCATAAAAAGCAACCCTAACATCGATAACCTCAACGAACAGACTTTTTCTTTTAAACAACTCCTTTACGAGTGTTTGCGTGATCCCTTTCTCATCAATAAGAACAAAAAGCATCATATTACAGATAGCACGAGAGGGTCAAACTAATAAGTTAGTCTGATGCCTGCAACTATTTTGATGCCTTACCCTTAATTCCTTTGCCCTCCCATTCCGCTTTTGCAAATTTTGTTGTATTCTTGTCGTTCTGTATTCTCATTTCCGTCTGTTTCATTAAACTGATTATACTTAAGTTGAATTATTTTCTATTTTTATGTTGAATTACTTTAAGTTAATTTTTAATCTGTTGTAATTTTCGTCTGAGCTCGTTTTATTAGTTGTTTGAAATTTCTCATAACATATTTTCTTTATATTGTTCACTAGATTACCGACCTGACATATAAAAAATAGATTTAACCTAAAATATAAAAATTTTTGTTATGTTCTCCAACCACGTTACATCTGATTTCTTGTATCTTCTGATAGTTCATATTTCTATTGACTTTGTTTGATTTTATTCTGCCGAATGTTGTTGACGTTAAAGCCCCTATGACGTAAGTTTATAAATGTTTATTTTAATTTAAGTTAAAATTTTTTCTCACATTTTCAATGTTATTTCATTTATTTTTTAAACGTTCTTCTGATGATGTTCAGTGAACGAAACCGGTAAAGACAAATAAATTAAACAAAATTCACCACAGTAAAAATCGTTTTTTGATACCTACTTATCACTTTTGGTGCAAAAAAAAAATGGATAATCATCTACAAAATTTTCAATATGGTTTAGAAGGACTAAATTTGACAAATACTGTAATGTTATCATAAGAAATCGTTTAAAATTGGAAATGTCGAACCACGGAATCAATGCGATAGTAGACGCCACGAGAGCTGGCAGTAAATCATCATTTTCCGCTCTTACAAATGCTATACGTAGTTCATAAACCGCTAGAGAGTAATGTGTGTTGGAAAGAGATAGCATTAGTTTAATATATCTGCTGTACAATTCAAATGGCCACGTCAAAAAAGTACGTCTGTTCTTCCAAGGGATGTCACTTTATAATTATAACCTCAAATCGAAACGTCTTGTGAGCGTTGTCATGAATCTGTTAGTGTTTTCGCAAGCCGAAAATGTTTTCTTTGAAAGGAAAATCATTAAATAATGGCTTTGTTCGTTGGGACTGCACTACTCTGCACGACATGCACTCGTATGACGTCATAGTGCAATGAAGTGTAAGTCAGTGCAATGTCATGTCAACTTAGTGCAGGTCAGAAAAGTGTGTAAACCGTGGTCGCAACGAACAGATTTTTATAAAAAAAAGTGTATAATATTTAAAATGGACGAACAGGAGATTGTCAGCGAAATACTGGTGGAAAATTAAATCATTGCAGAATGTTTTTTAGTAGCGATTCATCAATTATTATTATATTATTATTATTTTTTATTTTTTTCAATTATTAGCGAAATATATTTTCTACCTCAAACTACTAACCCTTACTAGTTCTTTCAAAACTACTACTTAACGTATAAAGAAATCACATGCTAAATTGCACCAAAATCGATAACCAGTACTTGAAAAAAAAAAATTGGGGTGGTGAGGGTAGTTAATCCCAGGCACTCCTAAATGAGAAAAAACACATAATTAATATTTTTAAATGTACTATAAGTGTATTTAATGAAGCCAAAATCGACAGGGTAGTTTTTAAATTTTCCAAAAAAGTAGGGGTAGTTTTCTACTGCCTCTACTGGGATTGAATATACTGTGTTCTCTAATACAACAAATATTAATTATTATAAGGTTTTATTTCTTAATATTTAATATTGATATTAATTATTACAAAACACGCTTTCAAATATTCCGCCATTTTAGTTACACTGCATTAAACTGCACTTATTGAACTTAATCGAAAGCAGGTGCAACAAAATCTGCACTAACTTGCACCGGCTGCACTAAATTGCACTGCACCTGGCCCAACGAACAGTATGAATGCAACTGCACTATCCCCAACGAACACACAACATCTGCACTAAACTGCTTAGTGCAAGTAGTGCAGTCCCAACGAACAAAGCTAATCTTTGACAATGCTTGACATATAACCTCCATTACTAACATAACCTACATTTAAATGTTTGTGGTGAAATAATCTAAGTCGTACGTCCATATCTTGATTCATACCATTTTTAAGCGAACTGCCAGCTCTCGTGGTTTCTACTATATAAAGAGTTCACAAAGGTTATTTTTTTTAACTTTTATTATGTCATAAATCCTTAAATTTTCCAACTGTTTCTAAAAGCCTATTTCATTTCAAAATTATTTTCACTCTTAGAAATTTTTGATTAGACGCATCGTTTTCGAGATATTTGCAAAAAAATACAACCTCGATTTTGATGTTAGCCAACCTGATAGAAAAACATTTCTAAATATCGAAAGACATTTACGTGAGACAGGAAATTTAAGACAGAAGTATGTAAATAACGGGAATCTAACGTTCCCAACTAGAAGAAAACATTTTCAATTTTATGACAGATCGTAATACTGCTGATAGAAACAGTTTAGACATTTCAGAACATCCAAAGGTACGTCTTGGCATATCCTAC